CTGGCCTCGCCAATGACTTGCAGCCGGCTGAGATGAAGGCTAATCTCGGCCTGATAGAGCTGCTTGAGGCGGCAATGTGCAATGCGCTTAGAGAAGAAAGATCTCTACCGTTATCTAAGCGTCCATGAATTGAGTATGCGCACGATAAAATAGTTGTAAAAGTTGCATACCTACTTCAACAGTGAGAATACTTATATTCAACCGGGTAAATTATTTCCTGATAATCTTCGGCGGTGATTAAAGTGTTAAAAGCTAAAACGACCCTTTCTAGCACCGTTTAAAAATTGCAATTATTTGAGATGTTATTCGTAATGTCTCTTTCACTCAATGATGGCCTACCGCAGCATGTGTGCAACTAGTCTAATTCCACACGTAAGCTTCAGATTCCAGTTTCTCGCAATTCACGTATGAGTGCAATGCAGGTAACAGCTCAGGCTGAGTATGGGTATGGGTTCTAGATATTCATCGTGAACACTCAGCCAGACACCTGTTTAGCAATCGATGCACGTCAGCCGATTCAACTGCGACTGTATATTGCAGTCCTACCACGGCCCGGGCTGTAACTCTGACGTGGCCCGGCCATAACTCGGCTGATGAAACGCCGGGACTGAAAACTTCCGCCATTTCGGCGGCGTCGGAGACAGATAGCTGGTAGGTGAGCGCGGTCAAAAGGTCACCGATGCGCGCAGCCGAATCAAGGCCAGGCCACCGACACATGGGGCCTTGAGTTATGCTAATCGCGCGGCGCGCGACGCGCTGCGTTGCGCAGCCGGCGAATAGTGCGCGGGCTCGTGGGCGACACAGCGTGGGTCCTCGCCGACGACGAGTCATCGGAAAACAGAGCCTCGACTGTGCTGGCCGCGGGCGGCGAGCGGGCGATAGCACCGGCCGGCCGGCGGCTGGGAGCACACAGAGGTCACCCGGCTCACCAGGCTGGAGAAGAGGTGGGCTTGAAGCGGAGAACAGGAGCGTGTTTGAATAGCACGGACACCCATGGGACAGTTGAACCGCCACGTCACATCTCACATCGTTAATGGGAAAGCTGCACGGCCAAACGGTATAACCACTCGCCGTACCGTTAAACGGGGACAAAGTCGTGCAATTAAGTGGGACATACACTCGCCACGCATCTAAACGAGAGTCCCTTGCCACGCAGCTAAATGGAACGCGGTTCGGCGCGACACGGTTAAACGGTACAGGCACTAACCGCGCAGTAAAACGAGGCAGGTACCCACCGCGCGCAGCTAAACCAGACATGACGAATATAATTGACGTCCTCAAGCGCATTTCGCATTCCTCATGATTTATGCGCATAACTTGATTAACTGCCTGGATGGAGAATAATTGAAGCCCTGGCCACATCTTTCATCCGTGAAAATTAGCTCATCGCGCGGCTGAAAGTGCTTAGTTTGCATGAACATTATCCGTGTTGCACACAACCCCGATCGTGGAGCCAGAAACAAAGAAATATATGTACGCCCTTTACCGAGCACACGAGCCTCATCCTAATGCGGAGTCTGTCTGTGCGCCCGGACAGCCATTGAAGGTTATATCCACAGAGGTGATTACGCATCGCCGTAACACGACTCGCCGCCCGTGACGAGGTTTCTCTCAGTTTAAGGAAGTGTGTCTATTGGAACCGGTTTTCGGAGCGTTGCCTCCTTCGATAAACGCGCCAAGTGATGACGTCCGTGCGTTCAAGTCCATTTTAGAGCTTGTGCTACTTTGCCGGGCGGCGTTTAAGTCCATTACCTAGCCCACGCCAATACGGTGCCGTCTCAACCCGGATATCTTCACCGATTCCCGCGCACGAGGAGTCCAGAAATTCGGTGGGACCCGGATATTGTTCACCGACCTCTGAACACGGAGAGCTCACCCGTGACCCGCCCCAGAGCGCCGGCCTCAGGCGGGTTGGACGGGGGAGAGCGAGCGTCCCCGCGGGCAGTCGCAGGGTGCGGCTGGGTATGTGTAACGGCTGAGTGAGTACGCATGTATGCGGCTGTTATGTGACCGCCCTGTGACGGACGGGGGCGGCGCCGCGGGTGCCGCTGCCGAGCACCGCTGCCCGCCGCTTCGACAGACAGGTGCCGTAGTAAATCGACACCGCCAGACCAACCGATCGGCTATCAGGGCGCTGTTCGATGTCCCGGCCCGCCCACCTGCGCTGCCGCCGAGATAACTACCGACACCGACACTCGGAGGGACCTGTTCGAACAGGTCATGGGACAGACCTGTCGGATCGCTCCTGTCAGTCGGAAGGATTAAAGAGACTGCTCTGACCGACATTCGACCGTTACCACCAATAAACTCTGGCTGAACGCAGCAGTGGTGAAAGGGGGTATCGCGTGTCGCGGCCACATACAGGAGCCCAGTTGATGCCGAATTCAGCGCCAGACGCCATAACTCGGTCCCAAGATTCTCGAGATAGCGGTCATTGCCACCCTGTACGGGGGTGGCCATGATAAAGCCCAGCATCGGCGACCCACACGCTGATTGCAAGCGGAGCGCGAAAGATGTTGAAACTTGAACCTGTGCAACGATAAAAATTGCGGCTACGATCATACAATTCATCTGGCATCATAGCGAGACACAAATCACATAGCTTCCTGCTCTGGGATAGCTTCCTATGCAGCACTGCAGTTTCGGTAGGCTAGTGCTAGCCCCTCACCCTGTAGTCGAGGTCACCAGTCGCTCGGACCGTCTGCAGTGGACACAGGTGGCACCCGCACCGCAGTGACGGTGGCAAAACCGCCACTGCGCAGGTATTTAGCCACTTTTGACGCATTAAATAAAAATCCCTAGTGACTGACAATAGCTGCTTATGCATGGTAGCTTTGAAAAAGTTTGACCGCATCATGTTTATATCGCCTATAATTCGTGTTTCACATTGCCCATAATTTCCCTTTTACCGCATTTCAGGGGACTTTACCGGTACAAATTACTTTCTGGGAAAAGCCCCAGCCCACAGCAGCAGCTGCTGAAGCCTGAATACCTTGGTAATCGTAACTGTTATCACACGCATGGCAGTCGCAAATTAACCACAGCCCAATGCAGTCGCTGGTAGCGTAAAAGGCGTGTCAACAATGAGCGCCTCTTTGACAAACGCACCGGTCTAGTCGGGGACGTTTCTGACCGGAGCTCCAGTGCCAACGCTGTCCTCAGGTAAACCACCACCGTGAGTCGCAAACGCGGCGCTGCGCCGGCAGTTCCGGCGCCGCGGCGGGTTTTTACCAGGAAATGGCGCGGATTCTGGCCGGCTGAGTCAGCGAGGGATGATCGGTCAGGTCGGAGGACGGAGCGCCGCCGGCACCGGACGTGTCAGGTTAGCGAGTGGTGCGGTCAGGGAGACAGTGCGGCTCCGAGAGGTCCCCTGGGGGACGCGTTACCTGCCAATCACTGCATACCCGCGGCACACCGCACAGATAACAACTACTGACGTATGCAATGGAGGGACAGATCACACGGCTCTCAGCCAACCGAAGAGAGGACATGTCGCTATAAAACATACTATCACCCACACAACATAGAACGCACACATGTAACGAAATTCGTTCCTACCCCGTCCTCCACCTCCCTCTGTACCTACTTACTGCCCAGCCCCCTCGCCCACTTACAATATCCTTATATGGTCCTCACTCCTCACCTGCGACGCCTGTCCTAGCCCGCTTCTGATTGGTGCTATGGTATGACGTACATCTATATGTATGACGTGTGTGTATGACGTTTCAATATAGCGGCCGACGCCGAACGCCGAGCAGGAGCTGTGAAGGATGATTCGAAAGCCAACCGCCGTAGCGGCCTGACGTATCGTTATTCAAAGTCTCGGCCGACTGTTTATTACTTTTGGATTCTGTCGTCAAATTTGCAATACATACTTCAAGAAAAGAAAAACCGTGTTGGTTATACGGCTCGAACAAGAGGTCCCCAAACAGACTATCACAGAAGAAGAAATTGTTTATTTACTTTTTACATTTGTTACAACACATCACGCGGAGAACACAGTGCAGAAACCGCAGTACGTCAGAATACCCGCAGTAGGGACGGAGCCGGTTCTTCCCTGGACAAATACAAGCGTGGAAAGGGAGAGGGAGGGAGAGAGAAAGAGAGAGGGAGGGAGAGAGAAAGAGAGAGGGAGGGAAAGGGAGAGGGAGAGGGAGAGAAGGAAAGAGAGAAAGAGGGAGAGAGAGAGAGGAGAGAGAGAGAGAGAGAGAGAGAGAGAGAGAGAGAGAGAGAGAGAGAGAGAGAGAGAGAGAGAGAGAGAGAGAGAGAGAGAGAGAGAGAGAGAGAGAGAGAGAGAGAGAGAGAGAGAGAGAGAGAGAGAGAGAGAGAGAGAGAGAGAGACAACAACAGTGAGGACGAACTCGACGGTTATCGCCAGCCTGCACCTGGGCTTTGGGGAACCTGAACTGTGCAGCGGACTTTGAATGTGCAATGGGAAATCGATCGCCACCTACCGCCAGCCGCGATCGCTCCGTTTGCTCTGCGGGATCACGCTGTGTTGTCCCCGATCACACCACCTCTGCTCCCAGATCACGTGCGTCAGCTCGTGACCGTCGATTCAGGTCAGCCCCACGAGACAGCGCGCCCGACGGCGCAAATGGGCATACATTGACTATGGTCGGTAATATAAATTGCATGATAATGGCAGCACTCGGTATTATAAAGCGTAGCAGATGTAGTTTAGCCATTGCTGAATACGTTAGCTTACTGCATAGTACATACAGGCCGATGGGGCGAGGAATACGCCAACGATTTGTTCGAGGTAGAACGAGACGATCTGCCCGTTGCCGTTTATTCGAGGTAGAACTCTTCAGAATAAAAAAGCGCGCTAGGCTTCGGAGACGCAGTGACTAATGCAAGGTTTTAAAATTTCGGCCTTCGGGTAAACCAGTGACCTCTGAGGTAATGCTAACGGCTCTAGGATCAGCTTCTTGTTTTTGTGATTACCATCAGAACAGATAAAGAGCCACACGCCACGCCTTCTCATAAGCAGCCAGGGAGACAAATTTAGCCAAGTTTATTTCACAAAAAAAAAAAAATACACGAAGGAAACTCCTCACAGTTGACTGGACTGCCTATATCACAGAAATCATATGTCTTGCCTTTTACCTTCCTGTTGTCGCACATGTGCCAAACACCCTGGTAAGCGTTCGCTGGCAATCTTCACTCAAAATAATCCAAAACTACGCGTCAAAGTAACGGTTTTAGTCAAACGAAACAGAGCCAAATCCGATACAGCGAAACAGCGAAAGACAGATGCGGCTGGCTCATCGGTAGGTATTGCTCTGAGAGAAAGGGGCAGATCGCGGGGCACTAGGCACCACCGGCAGAGAGCTTCTCAAACAGATCATTGCGAACTAGCGAGGGCGAGCATTGAAAAATTCACCTCCGTCGGGTCCCGCTGCATGAATGCCTTGACCACGTTGGCTGCGTCCGACAGGAAGGTCTCGGGCGAGCTCGGGCCGTGGTTCACCGGAGCCGGGCGCCTGCCATCTGTCGGATAGAGGCAGAAACTCAGCTTCATCATCCGCCGTCAGGATTGGTAAAAACATGGCCAAGGCATACAACTGGAAAATGACGTTCACGATTTATAAACTTCATGACATTTTCTTAGATGCAAAACCTTAGTCGTCGAAAAGGAACTTCTTCGAAGAACAACAGCATCGCCTTATGCTTCCGAGAACTAGATTTAACAAAACATATGGTTTCTATGGCAGGCCACACAGCAGTGGCTGCTGTGTGATGATCGACCATCCAGCCGTCGATCGATCGACCGTTGGACTGATCGACCGTCGACCGATCGATGAGATCCACTTACCGAGCTCGTACAGATGACCGTCCACCTGGACAAACGAAATGAAGTGCTTGTCGAGCTTGTCATCGCGCGACGGCGTCTCCGTCTGTCCCTCGTGACTGGCGGCCTCGTGGGCCGCCTCGAGCTGCTGGAACTTCTCCAGTGAGACTGCGCGCTCCTCCGGCGTCTGGCCGGCCGTCTGGCTGAAAAACTCGGCCAGCGGACCGCTGCTTAGCTCCAGACTGTGGACACAGACGGAGGGGGGAGGGCGTGAAGAGACGGACATGGCTGCCAGCGGCTCAGCTTGCAGTCCTTCATTATACGAATGCGCTCAGATATAATCATCGAATATGATGCATATATGATCACAATGTGATCGGTGGTTAGACGGAAGCGTCAACGATGCACGACAATCATGTCAAATTTATAAATCATTTTTGACAGGCTGGTTTTACGATCCCTTGATATTTTGCGATCTTCCTGCAGACTGCCATTTCCCAGCTGACAAGCGATAAGTGGAATACCGATATGACCACCCCACCCCATCCGCTACTCACGCCTCCTGGTTGTTGGCGAGCGCGTGCATCAGCGCGACGGTGCCGCAGGCGTTGCTGATGGTCTGCCTCATGAAGTACAGCTTGGGCGACATCACCTGGCCCTCGGCCTTGATCTTGTTGTCCTCGTTGGCTGCCGCCGTCTGGGCCTGCAGATAGGAGGAGGAAGTGAACACCTCGGTGCATATAACACACATAGACGAAACCAATTCAGAGTGACAGTGACACGACTAACCCGCATTGGTTTCAGTGAGCAGCAGCAGTACTTACCACCTCAGTGAGTGGGTAGAGCAGCAGGACAGCCGCCACTGGCTGCGGCACCATGGCCAGCAGCTCGGGCTCCATGCCGAACACGTCGGTCACCGCCCACTTGGCCGACAGTCCCAGGTTGTAGAGGAAGCTGTTCATCACTTCTGGGTTGGACTCGAGCGGCAGCCAGCGAGTCTCGGCCTTTCCGGCACCGGTGTCTCCAGATTCATCAGACATTGTTATGGCTGACGGGCACAGACACAGACACATACCAGTTTTGTCATATGTCATTATTCACATTGGCATTATAAAGGAATGAATTACCAGTATGCCTCTAGTCCTCTTGGCTCTCATTGCTGAACAGAGCACTGGTGCATAACTTAGCTACCTCCGAAGATATCGGGGTAAAACTTCCTAAATTGGATAATTGGCATGCGATCTATCACATATATTGTTTTAAGAAGAAAAAAAAAGAAATGTACTCAGAGAAGGTCCGATCTACAATTGTGGCGCCGTTGATACAAATATGTAACAGGAGATATTGTAGGTTGAAGGTTGTAGGTTTTTAGGTTCTAGGTTGTATGTAGTTAGAATTTCAAATGATGTATGTATGTATGTATGCATTGTTCTAACTTCTAGGTTGTGTTAGGTTGTAAGTTTGTATGTTTTAGGTTGTAGGCTGGTAGGTTTATAGGCCCTCTAGGTTGGTAGGTTGTAGGTTTGTAGGATGTAGGCCAGACTGGAGAACATCCACACACTACGCCGGACGCCAGTGAGACCCTTTTGCGCCGAAATTCGGCACAAGCGATTTTGCGGTGAAATTTCTGCATGATAGACGCCACAAATCGAGTACCTATTTGTGCTAAAAATAAGCCACCATTGTATATGTATGTATGTATTGACATCAAAAGCCTTCCACATATGGCGTGGCGATTACGGCTTAGATCCGAGTATAATAGGTGACAATCATGCCAAGCCTATATCAACCAGACGGAGCGTTCGGAAGCCTTGGACGCTCTCCAATGTTTGAGCGTCGGAATAAGTTTTTATTTCCACGGAGACCCCATACATCAATACGTATAGCGCACTGTAGCGTCGTGCTGTGAAACAAGGCCGGAGTCGGAAGTTCCGGGGCCACAAATATCGACGGAGCGTGTGTTCGAGGCTGGCGGGATCCAGCGAGGGCCGGGCAGCGGAGGCCGGAGAAGCATGCGATTCGGCACATCAGCCTCTTCTCGGCACACGACGCAGAGCGCCGCGGGGCACCGCTTTTCGGGGCACTGCTGGCATGCCGCAGAGTGGAGACAGCTGATTCGGTGCAGTACTGTAGCGAGCGGCCCCAGTGGCCCGCCCTCATCTGGTGCACCGAAACGGCGTCCTCTCGGTCCTCTCCGGGGATAGGGAGCGGCGGCGTGCTCCCGAGGAGTGGCTTGAATACTGACTCGGACCAGTTGTCGCGCCATTGATGCGAGGCTGTACAATGAACCGCCTTGGTCAGCGAGCGGGCGTTTGAGGGTAGGGTGGCCGCTAGTTTCGCCAGGTCGTCCACGCTCTCATTCCACTCTATACTGCATTGGGCAGGAACCCACTGAAGTATTACTTTACAATGCTCGGCAATGTATGACAATGTCTTCCACACCTATCTCCACGATGAGGCCTCACCTGGGCGGCCGCTTGCGCTGAGCAAACTCAAGGCAGCTCGCAAGTTCAAGCTCGCAACGACCGGGACAGACACCTCATCCCGAAACCTCTCCTTGTAAATCGGACTCCTTCTGAACATTTACCATAAAAAATTATAGGAGAAACTTCAAAAATATAATTGATTTTCATGCTCATGAAAATTCAGAATTTTCAAAACTTTGGAAATCTAAGATATCAGTGTGGTAGCTCTGTTTATCTTGAGTCCTCTGATGCAAAGAAATTGGATCTAGCAAAAATAAATAAATAAAAAAACAAGCTTTTGACTGGGATTGCAGCACAGTAGTAGTACAATGTTTTGCATCAAAATGGTAGGTTGTAGGTTGTAGGTTGGTAGGTTCGGTTGTAGGTTGGTAGGTTGTAGGTAAGGTTAGGTCAGGTTAGATTGTTTACTTATATATTCAACCGCAAAAAATTGTTGAGCACGTGAGACAAAGATATGGCAGCTCGGGTGACGTCTGGTAAGAGAGTACCATACCAATACCAACATGACACCACTCTGAAGTCTGACATTATTTTGGCCAAAAAACAAAAAAATTAAACAATCTTTATTTAGAAAAGTTTTAAACTGCACAACAGTGGATAATGATAAGGAATCAAAATCCAATGAGTTTTGGGGATTTCAATTAGGATAACCTTTTTATGCCCTAAGTGTCAGACCATCTTTCTCGATCCACCCTTGCCAAGTAAAGACCCACCCCAAATGAATATGTGAATCGTAAGAAATCACAAACCTCACCGTTTTTAATTACCTCGTATTCGTAATTCAAATTTGAATTCCAAAATCTAATTATCCGCTGACACACCCAGGGATAACTGTCACAGGAATGCGCTGTGCGCCGGTAAACAACAGATCAACGCAAGGTACCAAAAAATGTAGAATGATGATTACGGGAATTTGGGGAATCAATGACGTCATTCTAAAATAAAATAATACTTTGCACAGTGAAATATCAATATAATCACAGTTTTTGTCATTGAAAAAATAAATATAGGCAGTAAAAATTGTTTTCTTGAAATAAAATGCTAGAAACTACGCTTAGTTGATCAGTTTACAAATATTACCTCTGATGTCATTTAAACAGAATAATTCGCTTTTGACTGTTGACGTGAGCTTTTACAAAAGTGGCGCTATTGCTACGATATGCACACCGACTTGAACATTTGCCCCGCGTTCGATGTCTCTCGGACGACGAAGATTCTACGCCGTCCGGCCAATCACGTTCCATAACCGCAGCCGAGCCCCCGCTGACCTTGGACGGGATTGGCCGGACGGCATAGAATCTTCGTCGTCCGAGAGACATCGAACGCGGGGTTGATTTATGTAGCTCGTTGATGTGGTCTAGGAGCTTTTGGAGAGAATCAGAATTCAAAAACGCTAGGGAAGTTTTGATTAAATTTATTTTTATCTTCAAAGAGTTCACGCCAGGTAAATTATCTTCCTTACAGGATTGTGTCGCTTATGCAGTTATGCACTTATGTTGATGTCAATGTGCAACGAAAATAAGCCTAATTAAAAATTTTGATTATTAAATATTTGGTAGGTACTTCATCTGGTCATCTGTAATGGCCATGTAGGTTGTAGGTTGGTATGTTGAGGGTTATTAGGCTAGTACGTAAGGCGGTTTAATAGTAGAGTGGACGCCACACAAGGGTTTTCCAACTTCAATTTGAACTGATGAGAGGCGCATACCCGGAGGTGCTTCTATGTAACAAAACCTAAACAAACCTAACCTGACCTAACCTAACCTACAACCTAACAACCTACAAACCTACCCTACAGCCTACAGACCTACAGCGCCTCTCCTCAGTTGGAAAACCTTCGTGTCGCTTCTACTATAATGATAAATTCCGCTAAGGCTAGGGCCTAGGTCATGGTCTATTATGTCCTGGATTATGTTATTATGTTTTTATCAACCCAGACTTCATCTTCACATTTAACCAATTTTTTTGTGACTCAGGGCTTTGAGAGCAATGAGCAGTATCATTGCCTAAATAATATTTCTAGAATAAATGCTTGCTCATGCCTCAAACAAAGTTTTGTTTTGTTTGGCAGTGTTTAGTCAATATATTAACCACCTATACCAGTCTTAGTGTTATGCATGGCCATTATTATAAAAAGGTCATTGGACAGATATTTTGTGCCACATGCATCATTCAGAAATAACCTATTTGACATAGATGTACCATCTGTGCAATGACTGCTCATGTAATGCTCATGTAAAGGAATGACCTAATCATGTGAAACAGTACTGAGTACAGAAAACTTTTGAAAATGATCATACTGGTATAAGGGGGAATAATCAACAACTCAACCTTTTTCTTTGCTTATTGTAAGTTGTGTTCAATTAAAGTTAGTTATACCTTATCAAAGATAATTAATCCTATAGCTATGCCATTTGGTTCTGTATTTCCTGGTTGTTTTCTGACTGCATGCTATTCTTCCAGATAACCTGCTGCAAAAATGTCTGGGTTTTATGATGACACCCAAGGACAGCAGAATTATGGATGGGGAGAGTACAACATGGGAGATGACACCAATGGATTCCAACAAGACAACATGTAAGCTACTTCCAAATGTGCCTAAAGTAAAATATAAACATAGAATTGTTTTCCAGTCATGAAACCAAGTCAAGCTTTACACCAAGCCAACCTTTACACCCAGCTCCTAGCTCTAATCTTTTTGAGCTTTGGCATCACCTTTTGATTTTTTCGACAATAAAGCATCTCATGAAAAGCCCAATATCTTTTTTACATTTATCTGTAAATTTTACACCAAGTCAAGGTGCTGTATTCGAAAATATCGTTTCCGTTAGAACCGAACTCGTCCGCCAACCGGGCAACTTCACAACTACCACTTCCCGTTCTATCCGCCAGGGGTTTCCAGTCGTTCGACTACGGCGGCGGCGGCTCTGCCGACCTGGGCGGCGGCGGCGCCGGCGCTCCGGCCAGCCCGTACCTGCAGCCGGAGCCGGTGCCGGCCTACTCGGGCAGCCTGCTGACCCCGGACCCGGTGTCCGGATACCCGGAGGACGGCTCCGGCGGACAGTTCGACCAGGAGCCGCCGCTGCTCGAAGGTGGGCGCCGCTCGGGCAGGGGACTCGCCGCTCCAGGGCGGTACTCCCCGCCCATCGCGAGGGACACGCCGCCGGTCGGGGTGCTGTTTGGTGGCCGTTTGTATCAGCATGCTTATGCTTTGTCCCTAACAGGGGTGGAGAATTAGGGGTTTTGAGATCTGTGGGGCTCGTCTGCCGAATTAGGGGTTTGGAGATCTGTCGGGCTCGTCTGCTGCGGCGGATGTGATTAGAATGAGACCTGGAGCTGGCAGCCGGCGATGCCAGTCGCCTCTGTAGTTAACATTCAAAAGTGGCCCCATATAATAGTGCTCCAGGGGTGCTTGAATCATGTCGGAGACAAACTTCTTTGCGTAAGTCGCGAGGAGAGTGATGCTGCTGGGAAAACGTACCTATATGTGCTTTTTTACGCAGGAATTGGACGCTTTCATTCGCCAGGTGCTAGAAAAGCACCCCCTGGGATTATGACAATTCTCCACCCCTGGTCCCTAAATGGGAGCTGCCTACTTGAATGTGCTACTAGTTGCCATTGGTGAACTGAGTATGGCCCATGCGCCTCATTGTCGATTGGCCACTATAAACCTCTATACTGGTCTACACAGGTCTCTAGCCACCTAGCGTGCTCTCGTGGAAACTGGGTTGACAGTGGTGACCGAACAGCGCTGGGGGTGCAGGAATACCGGTACGATATCGGTACGAACCGATCCGCTGGTAACTGGGTCGTAGAGCGAGGGGCACATTCCCGTCAAAACTAATATAGGGACGTCTGCTACTGCTTTTTAGGCGGAGAGCAGTCATGAAAACGTTATCACAGAAAATTTCCTGTGACTCATAAGGTAGATGTGCCATTAAGCGAGCATTTGCTTGAGCGCATGGGCATTCGGCATTTGATAAAAACTTTACCTCACATCCATAGCAGATTCAATCGATTTATATGTTTTATCGATAGTATCTGAAAGAGGTTCGCATCATTTAATATCTGAAAGAATTAAGCTTTTGATTGCAAGTAAGTCCCGGTGTTGATCATTTTCACACTTCAGCCACACTTCTTTATGCTTGAGCGAGGATATGGTGACATCGTCACATCGCATTTTAAATGGGCTTCTAGTAATCGTTTCAATGTCCATTTTTCGTGAGAAAAATCTTCCCATGATTGCTTAGATTTTGCGAATAGAATCGCTGTAAATTAAAACCGTTGATATTTTTATCTTACGTGAATATGGCATATTAAGAAATGCATATTCATATAAGTTCTTTGAAGCGATTGGTTAGCAACATTGCTCTTTTTGACTGGCTTATTGGAATGATACTGATTTCGGACTTTTGATAATTATATATTTTATGATTCGACCACGCAAAGGTTTAATCTGCAAACGATGTTTGCTTCGTTTTGCGCAGGAAGGCTCTCGTCGTTATGTTGATGAGTATAATGGGTCGCACTCTGTGTCTAACGGCTGTGCAGGCTTTATCTCTGCGGATGTATGAGTAGGAAATGATCAAAGCTTGTGTTCCTCGGCCGCATAATGGAAGTCTCCGTTTCGAATGAGGACAGGCTGTTCATATAAAGGAGACGATGCCTCATAATGACATCGCGCTGGCTAGAAAGATGTCCTTGAAGCAGCGAAAAGAAGAAGAAAATCCGGACGTTGCGAGCTCACCACAAATCCTCGCCGGGCGTACTCGTGTAGTGCTCCGTAAGACAGCTGTGGGACGAGGCCTTTTACATGCCGGAACGAGTCAGCTGTTTCCTGAAATGGCCGCCTGAAATCGGATGACTCTGCATTTGAATTCTGGGATGCTGCGGTGCTGGATCAGTCAGCCGGCTCGCGACTGCCGCCGGAGCTGACTGGTCGCCGACAGGCCGGTTACGCCAGGGTTCATGGCTGGTTAAAGGTTGATTGAATTAAAGTTGATCAAAGAAAAGTTTGTGCGAAGTTGATTTTGCATAATTTCAATGTATCAAGCCTGCTCGCGTCAATCTGCAATATTCAAAGCAGTTTATGTTGAATAAGGAAAGTTCGACTTTCCCGGAATCCATATAGTATTTTCCACACTATTTTCGGTGTGATGAGAAACTTGTGTGCAGGCTTTTCTTCCATGGATTATTTTTACTTTAGTTTAAAGCGGCGAGCCCATTTGAAGTTCCCCAACTGATTACCTATGCCCGGGAGCGAGTCATTAACGTGATTTCGCTAATCAGATTAGTCGCCAGGGAGGATGAGAGAGGCTCATTCTGCCGGGCTCATAGCTGATGAGACTGGGCGGGCCGGTGGGCGGGCGTCTGAGACGGCCTACCGGCCGTCTTCGCTCTCCGGACAGTCAGCTGACTACCGTGGCATGGTTCAGGACTGGCAGAATCAGCTGAGTACCGTGGCATGGTTCGGGACTGGCAGAATCAGCTGTCTACCGTGACATGGTTCAGAACTGGCAAAAGCAGCTGACTAGGTTACCCGTGGCATGGTTCGGGACTGGCAAAAGTAGCTGACTACCGTGGCATGGTTCAGGAGTGGCAGAATCAGTTTTCTACCGTGACATGGTTCAGAACTGGCAAAAGCAGCTGACTACCGTGGCATGGTTTAGGACGGGTATAGCCAGCCTTTTATCGAGTTCAGGATTGGCAGACGTTCAGAACTGTCCAATGGCGCTGCCGACCTGCAAATATGCCGTCTGGCCACCAACGGTTCTGATTTGATTATTTGTCATCTGGCTATTGATAATTTTTCTCTTTAGATGGACATGCCATAAAATAATTGCACTGCATTCAAAGCCAGGTCATCGAAGGGCACCCCTCTAACCCGCGCCCTGGTGGGGTCTGTTTATAACGCGACCTGGTGGGGGGGATATTTTTTGCCCCCCCCCCTCATATCTCCGAAACTACTGGACGGATCCGCAAAATTCAAACGGCGTTCGAAAGGCCTGTCAAATTTGTTGAGGGGAACCAAAATTCATTGACCTCGGGGTCACCGATGACGTCACAGGTCAGGTCAAAGATGAAATGTTTCACCGTTCACGGATCTTAAAGGGAATTCGCTATAACACCGAGGAAAACGCATTTTGTCGAGAATCAGCGATAGGGCGTCAGTTGCCTAGAACATATGTTGCTATTAGAGGTCACTGGCAATACCAGGTCAGGTCACAGGTCAGGTCACCAAGGGTCAGCACATGAACCCAACTTTACTAAGGTTCTGCGATGCATGTTTTATGACCAATTTTTTCATTTCCAACTCAATGGTGTTGGTTATAAGACCATCTTAGGTCACTATCTGGTGGAGGTCAGGTCAAGGTCAGGTAAAAAAGGTCAATTTTTAAAGTTGATAGTTTTGCATACAATGGGTATTGATTCGATGCAGCTCGTCACGGGGAGTCTAATGGTGGTCTTTGTTTTGCGCTACGGGGTCTAGAAGTGCCAAAAATTGAGTTTGAAAATTAGACGTTATCAATTTTGAACAGTTTTTTCGCTGTAATTTGGCAAAAAAAAAGAGTTATCGATCTCAGATTTGGTATGTGGATAGAAGGCAGTAAGGAGTATCACATACATTCCGTTTTTTTAAATTCATAAAAACTTATTGGATTTTTCGGCTATTATATTCAATTTTTTTTTAATTTTTTGGGGTCAAAATCCAAAAATTTAAAAAATCCGAGATAGCAGTTTTGTAGCCCTGTCAATTCTACAGCTTTTATGTCGTCATCATTTTTCTGTATTTGCAAAGCTATAGGCCTGCCAGCTCTTCCCGTGAAACCCTTTTTTGGGTCGAAAACGGCAGAACATGACATCACTCTGACGTCATTTCCGGCCAACCTATCATAGCCTTTGGAAAATTTTTGGTCACAATGTGTAAAATTGATGTCCGGGAGGGTACTGAAAGTTTGGTGACGATCGGCGCAGCGATTCTGGAGATATAGCGAAAAGTCTGGAAGGGGGCAAAAAATAGCCCCCCCCCCACCAGGGCGGGGATTAAAAACCACTGTAACCATGCTATCAAAAGATTACCCTGAAATATATAACAGGCTATCAAAGATGTATCTGCATTCTAAAGAAGGCTATTAAAAGATATCCCTACAACTACTAGCCAGTCTATGAGAGGATATGTCTGCAATATCCAGACTATCAAATGGATATCCCCAGACTGGGCGCTGATGACCGTTGCTCCCTAAAACTTAGACTCATCACAAGTTTTTCCTAGAATCACCTTATTGACTTTCTGCCAACTAACTTGTCACTTCATCGATATCGCTGACGGAGGATATTCGTCTTCACTCAATCTCGAATGTCGCCGTTTTTTGCGAGTGATAATAGATCCGACTACCAAATAATATCTCACCACGGCACTGTGCACTTATGGCAAAAGTCTTTGAAAAAGTCTTTGTCAGCTGACTGTCAAAAGTCTTTGTCAGCTGACTGTCAAATGTCCAATGACTGACATCAATCTCTACTGACTGAGCAATGTCGATTGATGGCGAAAACCCCATTACAGGCAGCTGAGGTAACTTTGACTTCCTTCCGGCCCAGATGTACCACTGGAATGATGACATCGTATTGCTCCCGAAAGTGCAGATCTTCAAAGCCCCTGAACCCAAAAATAACCAACACTTGTCATTGATTCATCGAAAGCTTTCAAGGTTCCCAGACCTTGACATCGTACGATTGATTTAAAGCTCAAGTATGTTGTTTTTCTCAGCATTAATGCAGTCGTTGATGTGTGGGGATCTTTCAAAAGTCGCTGAGCGAAGGGCTTTCGATGATAACTGGAGTGTGCTGTTTTTGTTAGCATGAATGCATAAGCTCTCGAAAGTTGAAACATCGATCGACGAGCATCGAATGTTGTCGGGTATTCTGGAAGTGATTGGTCATCTTGTAGCCGTGCTCTGTAACCCCTGATTTGCCGGTGCTCTCTGACAATACAACTCTTTGGTATTATTACATTGTTCTTCGTGTCATTGTGAGGCAGCGCGCGGAATTTCATTCCGATTGCTCCCACTCGGCTGCATGTCAATCTGGAGTAAGTGTCGCTGCTCATTGATTTGTCAATGCGGCTCCGCTGCAACCACCACTGGTGAGGGGTCTGGACCGGGTCTGGTAGGGTCGGGCTCAGGTCGAGTCACTACTGGCGCTCCCTGGTCGCTGTAGGTCTGACCGCTAGCCGCCGGAGCTCCTCAAAGCTCCGCGAAGCTCGAACGAGCACCGACTGTCATCGCACGGTCATTGGGTTTGTGCTTGAACAAAGCCGCACAGTAGTCCCCTCGCTCGGCGCCCGATCGCCGCCGGCCGGACTGTTTGGTCCGCCGGTCCGGACGGTCCGGTCCGGACGGTCCGGATGGTCCGGTCCGGCCCGGGCAGGAGGGAGAAATGAGCCACGGTCGGGGGTCGCGGCCGGCGGTCGATCGGCGCCGACTGATTGGACACTGCTGAGGCGTTTTTCGCCGACCGCCGGCGGACGGCCGCCCCGCCCTCCCCGGGAGCGGAGCGGCGAGAGCAGACTGCCCGTGAACCCAACTTACCCGAGAGCCGCTTACAGATTGCCGCGGCTCGCTGCTCAGGTGCCAAAGTTGACGCTCAACAGGCGAGGAGCGGTGCGCCGTGCTCGATTCGCCGAGACCCGGCCGTCGGGTGCGAGTGCTCGGTGTTTACGTTTAGAGACGGCTCTCGGGATTGGTGCTTTTCAGAGCCGACGTCGAACTATTGTGAGACGCCGTCTAACGACCGGTGATTATCATATTGGTGGCGGGATTTTCGTTGGTTCGGATATCTGTGGAGCTCGTCTACCGTGGCGGATGTGATTAGAATGGGAGCTGGAGCTGGCAGCCGGCGATGCCAGTCGCCTCTGTACTTAACGCCGTGTGACGGGACTGTTTCTCTGTTGCAGAGCTCGGAATCAACCCGGACCACATTCTACAAAAGGTGAGTCAGATGAAACTCTCCCCCTACCCCAGCCCCAGCCGCCGTTTCCGCTCTTCCGCCTCCACGCCCCGACGTCATTCGTCTTGGGTCCCACCCTCTCCCAATTTGTCGCAGAAAAGCAATAACAATTGCTCTAATGATACAGTGAAACTGATGCTGGATAAACTAAGGTGAAACTCATCTGAATTGAATTTACTTGTAATGCCCGGAGCGAAAACAAATCCCAGACCGTGCTCATCTATGGAGAGGCTCGGGAAGAGCTGTACGAGGCGCTTTCAGCGGATTTGAATGCACTCTGTTTCGTTGTTATTCGCAACACGCATTCGAAATTGGCTGTGATTGCGTGCGGGTTTTCGGCAACTACGCTTCGGTCGGGCGCATTGGGAGCGAAATCGAGCGCGGACGAGGTCCCGGCGGTGGCTGCCCGGGGCGCGTGAAGTGTGGACTGTGGAGGTAGACGGTCTAACTAGCTGGATGGCTGGCGCGGTGGGCTGTGGAGTGTGGACTTGTGGAGCCTGCCGAGAGGGTCAGCAGAGGTGGTGGCTGTGTACTGTGTAAGGCGGACTCACAGCACTCACCTCCGCCGGATAAACATCTTTAGTTTTCGGCGCTTGTTTGAGCTTTGTGGTGACTGTTGCGGTTGTCAATGAGCTTATCTGTTCATACGATTGCGTAACTTGCCTTTAAGTTAGCAGGAAAATGCCTTTTTATATTTTTATTTTCCTCTCAAGCTCCGTTCCCTTATTGCGCCGTTTATCCCGTTAAAACGGTTTTCCGATTTTGATGCCATTTTATTCCTCCATTCCGTTTCCTCTGCCGCACATATCGGACAGCGGGTGCCCTATTCGTTCCAGCTGGTCTTTGTAAGGACGGCGACCTTTTTACCAAATGTTGGGCTTTCATTAAAGGCCTCTATAAAGGCTCTTTTACGATGTCTGTGATCCGAGCAATTATAAGAGCTTATGCCCTAAAGACGTTCTCAGATGTCTGCTGCAAGCAAAATGTTTATCAGAAAAGTGGCAAACAACTTTATTATCATGAAATGCCGTAGTTAATCACAACAGCGTAAAAAGATGATTTGGTGCAGCTGTTATTTTCCAACAAGTTGAAGTAAGCGTTCCGAGCAATATATTTTCTGGTAACTGTTTACAGCGAGAAAGGCGGCAGTCTCGGCTATCACACGGGGCAGCGTCGGCTCGATTCATCATCAATGCCCGGCGCTGTTGAGCGGACGCGGCGCTGTCGATGGCCTGTATTTGCGCCTGCAGTCGGACAGCACCGGCCGACCTGCAAATCGCCCCGGGCGTCCGGCCAGTTTAGCGGCCGGGCGGCGGGGCGACTGCCGGCCGCCGACCAGCGCTGTACTTAATGTCGCGCGGCCCTTTAATTAAAACGACAAAGATTGACGAGTATATAACGCCACGAATGAGCGCCGCGGCGGACGAGCCGGCGCGCCTCTGGGAGGCCGCCGAGACGGCAGCTACTCGTAGAGACAAACAGTCGGCGGGCGCAGTGCCGAAAACACGGCCGCCGTGGCGGCGCCCATTTCTCACTGTGCTCCCGGTGAAAATGTAACGACACGCAAACAGGCGCGCCGGCGGCGGCGCGGCATTAGCGCTGACGGCGCGGTGCTCCGTCAGCCGGCGACAAACAGTCGGCCAACAATGCGGCACGCGCCGCGCAGATAGATCGCGCCAGATTGTCACCATCAGTTCAATGTCACGCCGCCGCGCGCCGCACGCACATTTCGGCGCCGCATTGTGGCAGGAAAATGTGGCGCGCCCGCGTGGAATGGACGTGCCTCCGCCTCGCGTGTAATGTCGGCGTGGGTTAGTAACGACGGCCTACTCCAGGAAGTGTTGCACGCCGGAAACAGGCCGGCCGGCGCGGTGAGCCATTATTTAATCATTTTGGTGTAGCCTGGCGGATCCTTGTCCCAGGGTTTTGTTGGGATTTCACCGTTTTTGTCGCCGTCTCCGAACGGCCACAAACAGCCGACATGGCGAGCCGGACAGATATGGTCTCTGGGCAGCGCGCCCATACGTCAACGTTTTTCCACTGTGGACCGGCTGGTTCCATTCCGTCCTCTGCGGGAATACGCTCCAAGTAGCTTTTGGTTCCCTAAAATACAAATATTCCACTTTCTTTGTCTCGCTTTTGCAATGATGCTAATTGATATTAAGAATTATTGGTTTCTTTTCGCATGGTCTTCTGAAAAGATTAAGCAATGCCTTTTTAAGCAGTTTTACACGAATCTCGGAAATGTGGAAAATTTAATTTAAAAACGTCATAAGGAATCTGAAATACTTAATATAAAGACCCGAACCGGGTAGCTACAGACCGAAACTCTTCCACTGATGACGGAGCTGAATGGGCTCCTCCGCTCGGGGCGTGACCTTTACATCAGGGCGCCTCGTCGGCCGCTCTCCGTCCCGTCAATGGCGACGGCAGCCCGTGCAGTGCAGGGGCGTCTGCGGCCCATTCACCGGGCCGTGTCACTACCAGCGACAGCCGTATATCGTGCCACAGTATCGGTGTACCTTGGATCCCGTGGCCGTGTCGCCCTGTCGACCGCCGCTGTTGCGTGTCACAGGCGGGATTCCCAGTCAGTTGCCTCGGGGTCGGGTCGTCGTGTCACTACCTGACACCCAGGGCGGTGTGAGGACGGTCAAGGTCGCTGTCACCGTATGATGCCGCTGTTGCGTGTTGATATATTTGTCTCGGGTTATTGATAGATCACAGTGGGTTGGTGTGCATTTGTTGTGCGGTAGGTTGTCGTTGTGTCCTGGTTGCAGCTGGTATGCTGTGGTTTCCTGTAGAATTGTCTTCGATTTCTTGCAACGACCGCCGCCGGGCCCGTATATTTTCTGGAGTCGATACTGCCGGTTTTTGGTAGCGGTCGCCATTGTTTACCAATAGGTCCCGGGGCGTTACAGCTGGTTTACGGCGGCGCGGCGGTCGATATTGGTTACTGCTGGGTCCCGGCAGCACCGCCACTGGTTTCCATCGGTTCCAGGGCGCGCCTCCGCAGATTGTTGACAGTTGCCGAGTCCGGCGTGTAATGGTCGGTGTGCGGCCCACGGGTGCGCCGCGCGGCGGCCGTGCCGGCCGTAACTTACCGCCAGCTCTGCCCTGTTTTCGGCGCGAGCTTCCGTCCCGGTGACCTGGCACAGAACGAGCCGGTGTCGAACGCCCGGCGCCCACACGGGACCTACTTTACATCAACGTTTACAGCTCGTAAATCATGGTGAAGTGGAGCCCACGAAGCGGGCATAAAATGCGGTAATCTACGCCCCTGTTGCCACGTAGAGACCAAAGACAACAGCCAGCGCAAGTTGCAATTACTTGAACTTTGGTGACAGCTGGGTTAATTAGCATACATAAATGCACCGAGTGCTACCGTTTGTGCCAAGTTTGCCCGCTCGTGATAGGGTCTTATCATTACATCTTGCATTAACAGTTATTAAGCTCATCAGCGTTTTCACATTAGCGGAATTGTGATGGCTGATTGGCGTTGCCGGCGCGCTGGTTCGGCCTCGCTGCAGGTCTTTTCATGGCGGTAAAAACCCAATATCCACCGATCGCGCCCCTGTTATTGGGACAGGTCACAGGTGCGCCAAACGACGCCAAATTGGGCCGCGCTGGTGGCGTGGACGGAGGGGGATGCATGTCGACTCCATCTAATTGCGGCATAGTTCTGAACTGCTTTGGGAGAGATGTAGATTGACGTTCTTATGGAGCCTTGCATAGTCTCGTGCCGCATGATGGGAAAGGCCGTATTTTTAATTCAATTTAACCAGTAGCCGCAGTGTAGTCTTGAGCTGGGTATGAGTGGAAGGGATGCTATTTGCCTCCGTATGGCTCCTGTAAGTGTAATTATTATACCCGATGTACCAAGACATACCGCTATATTAACAACCCACATTACACCTGTGTAGGTGTGTGCAGTTCTGCACAGAGTGTGAGTGGTTGATAGCTTCCGGCTCCATTTGACCGCTGCATTAGCGGTCTACCGTGATTGGTGGCCCGTGGCGGCCCTCGCTACCCTCTGAGGCGCTAATATATTCCAGCAGTTCCGACAATAGGGGCACTGTTCTCCCCTAACGAGCCGCGGCCACCGGCGCTGGCTCCGACACCCCTCCCCGGTCCCCTCCCCACTCACTGACTGATCTCTCACCTTACCTCACCCCAGCCAAACGGCCGCGGAGGGCAGACCAATGCAGATTCGCACACTCCGTAAATCACAAGACACGGCTTGATTACTTTGAAAAAGTTAGCCGGGGGTGAAATTGGGTTTGGCCGAACAAAAGTTGTTGATTGCCTGCCGGGGAGCCGGGGAGCCCGGTCCGGATTTGCGCAGGGTGTGTTCGTTATCCCATGAGAGCGCTCCCAGCGCCGCCGCCGATCGCCCCCCCGCTAGTCGCCGCTCGTCGGCACCGTCACTGATTGTGTGCAATTGTGCGGCCAACGTGACGATGATTGCGTAGTTATGCCTGATGTCGGCTGCAAGATGATGTTTGTTTTATATTCTGTGTGGCTGCTAGTCCCGTTTCGCTGGGCTCCGCAGGGACCACCACGCTTATAAATGTAAAAGGAATACAAACAAAACAAAAAGTGCACCGTTGAATTTTCTTATCACTCACGCACCGGATCCAATTTGGGGCCGACAAATTAAAGTGTGGCGCGGCTATCTTGGCGCGACAGACGGCGGTCGACGGGGACGGTCGTGGCGCGGCTCCCCGTGTGGCCGTTAGGGGATGCCGCAGGGGACGGACGTCCGTAGTTCCGCGGCCGACAGCCGGCCGGCAGTCCAATAAGACGACACCGCACGCGCCGCACCTGGAAATACATAAACTACGTTACCGGGGGCAGATTGACACGTTGGCGTCGCAAAGTAAGTTACACAAAAGTTGAGCGGCGTGCATTCCTCAGGGCGCCAGCGACCGAGCGAAGCGACGCCGTCTTATTCAGCGTCTCGAACCTGGACTAGAAAAATACTC